TACATGTTACACGAAATCTCAATGAGATTACCCGCAAAACGAAAGATAATATCGTTAATGTGGAACATGAACTGAAAGCAGAAGACTGGTACTTTTTGTTTCCAAGACCAGTAAAAATTACAGCATTAGACTACTTCCAGTTCAGAATTTTGGGAAGTGATACAAGATTTCAACGCAACGATTATCTCTTTTATGCCTTATCCTTCTTTGAATATTATCGTATCAAAAGCACTATTTCAGCATGTGGCAGGAAAATCGTTTATCAAGAAGGAGCGGTTGAAGACGTCCATCTGTATGTGAAAAATTTGAGAGGTTCTGCAGCTTATTGGAGATCAGCCTTGAATGAGCTATTAGCTCAAATCAGATGTTAAGGAGCCCCAACCTATTTCGTAACATTTAGCTCAAATGATCTTAACTGGTTGGATCAACGAAAGGCCTTGTTAATAGCAGATGGTAGACCTGATGTTGATCCTAGTACGATTTACATTTATGAGGCTCAAAGACTTATCGACAAGTACCCAGTAATCTTGAGTCGACATTTTATGATTGGAGTAAATGCTCTAATGAAATTTATCAAAAATAATGACGAAGTATTTGGCGGCAAAGTAAAAGACCATTGGTGGCGTACTGAATTCCAGAATCGGGGAAGTCCTCACCTTCATATGGTGATTTGGATTGGAAATCATCCAGAGTTTAACTCAGAAGAAGGGAAACAGCTTCTTGATCGTAACTGTTGCTGCAAACTGCCTACAGAAGAAGAAGATTCAGAGCTTCACGATATAGTTAATAGATGTCAAATTCATCGGCATAGACCAACATGTACGAAAAATAATACCTCTGTAAGATGCCGATTTAATTTCCTGCGTCGAAACACGAATTGTGTCCCATTCTTCGGATGATTTTATTCGTAACGGGGGTAGAATCTGTCTACTAAAGCGTGGAAAAGAAGATGCGTGGGTGAATAATTACCACCCAGAGTTATTAAGACTGTGGTCAGGAAACATGGATATTCAGCCATGCGGGTCAAACGAAGCGATAGCGTACTATATAGCAAAGTACATATCGAAATCAGAACCTGAAGGCGTAGATTCTGGAATTGCGCAGGCAATACAGCAAATTCAACGTGAAGAGACTGATCTCTCACGCAATCTGTTCAGGATATGTATGAAGATTCTTCATGAACGACAAGTATCAGCTACAGAATGTGCGTATCGACTGTGTCATATCCCATTACGGGACAGCTCGCGAAGCTGCGTTTTTCTGAACACAAGAAAACCAGGACAGCGTTACAAAATATTGCAGTTTGACAAAAGCGGACACGCAATTGGCTATTATAACAATATCTTTGAAAGATATGAAAAACGTCCATTACAGCATCCTGACTACGATTTTGCGAATATAAGCCTCACAGCATTTGCAATGTTGTTCGAACCATTCTATCCGAAAAAGACAAACGATATCGAGGAAAGTGTAGATCATGATGTCTATGAAGAACGTCCAAATACACGTCGCACACTCATCGCCTTGTTAGATGGTCAAAACCAAATGGTTGTTAGAAATGTTCCTGCAGTTGTGAGAGCGCCATACTTTATAGCTGCATCAGATCCAGAAAACTTCTTCTACAGCTTACTCATTCAATATATGCCGTATCGTTCAGAAGCTGAACTACTTGAAGGTTTTAAAAATGCAAAAGATGCTTTCTTAGATCATGAAGACCGTTTGAAGCAAATGAGTAGATATATGCGCCAATTTCGAGAGCGGGATCAACAGCTTGAAAATGCATTCAATCAAGTTCATGCATTTGAAATTTTAGAACAGCCAGAAATTATCAATCGTGAACTTGACGAAGAAGAATTACCAGAGATAGAAATGAGCAATGATCAATTCCAGAGGGCACAGCAGTCTCTGAATGCTGATCAAAAACAACTGTTCATCTGTGTCACAGAGAGCATTAGGAAACAATTTAATGGTGACGTTATACGAGAGAGAATTTTCGTAACTGGACAAGCAGGCACCGGAAAAACTCTTCTCTTTAATGTACTGAAAAACCAAGTTAACCGATGTTATGGAAAACCGGTTGTGAAAGTTGGTGCTCTTACTGGAGTCGCAGCACGGCTGATCGGTGGATCTACACTACACCGTCTGCTAAAACTACCAGTACAAAAAGATGGAGTAATTGTTAGCATGCCACTTCTGGCTGGTAATTATCTGAGAGTGATGCGCCAATTATGGCTAAACGTCGAGTTCCTGTTCATAGATGAAATTTCTATGGTACCGTATGAAATGCTTTGCATGATCGACTCTCGTTTGCGTCAACTGAAAAACCCGAACTCTTGTTTCGGAGGTATAAATGTTATACTCTTTGGTGATCTAATGCAGTTACCACCTGTCCGAGGACATCAAGTATATCAACAGCCAGAACACAATTCTGCCTATTTGAACTCAAACAAAACATGCGCCAACAAGGAGACAAGACATTTATAGATGTGCTTAACGCTCTAAGAGTTGGAGAATTAACGTCTAAGCATCTTGAAGTTCTTCTGAATAAAGTGTCAATAGATACTACTGGAGAATTTTCAATTGAAAAAGCTTTGAGAATTTATCCGACAAATGATCAAGTTGCTAGACATAATGAAAAAGTTCTCCAGACTTTTGAAGATAAAGGAACTACTATTTACACAATTAAAGCGCAAGACCATCTCATTGATGCTTCACGAAATTTAGGTAATAAAGACGTAAGCTCTGTGATACCTAATGATATCAATAAAACAGGAGGTCTTCCTAATGTATTGAAAATATTCGTCGGAGCTAAAGTGACGTTAAGGTCGAACATTGACGTTTCAAAGGGTTTAGTGAATGGTAACATGGGCTTCATTACAGAAATTATATGGCCAAATTTTTGCAGGGACCAAGTATATGCGAAAGACATCCCGTCAGTCCGTATTAATTTCGATTCAGATGGTGAACACGTAATTAACCCACAATCGATTTAATTTCCAGCAAAATACAGCTATGGAACTGCTGAGAGACGAATGCTACCAATAATCCTAAGTAGGGCATCGACTGTTCATAAGATGCAAGGCTCTACAGTTGATCATGCAATCATTTATTTAGGATCTCGGCTGTTTGCTGCTGGACAAGCATATACAACTTGACTGCTCCAAGTTGACAGGTAAGACCCCAAGTAACAACGAAGCGTTAGACGAAATGGAACGACTAAGAAATATTTCATAAGAGCCGTCATTATCAGTTGGTCGCCAATAATATAATATCGATTCACAAATCATCAAGCACAAGTTCATACAACTGTGTCTAAAATGATTAATTGAAAAATTTCATTTATATTTTTAGCAAGACAAAATTATAAGATGATAGAATTCTGGTAAAAAGAGCCGAGAAAATATGAAATACAATCGAGTTCATAACGATGAGTCATACCATTACCATATATTGGTCATACATTACATACTGTGATACTTCGTCCGAAAATGTACATAGTGTAGATAGCTACAGCTACTATTTATTAAAAAATAATAAAATATAAATAAATATAGTTTAAAAAACTAAAAAAACAACGCTTTTAAAGAATATCGAACTAAAAAGTTGAAAACAAATATAGTTTAAAAAAACTAAAGACACACGCTTCTAAAGAATATCGAACGAAAAAGTTGAAAATAATTTTAAAAATTAACTTAAAAAAAAGTATATAAAAAATACTAGTATAATTGAGGAAAAAGCGTGGGGTGTTCGATATACGAAAGTTATGGCAAAAAGCGCCTTAAGCCTTTTCCTCAATTATACTAGTATTTTTTATATACTATTTTTTTAAGTTAATTTTTAAAATTATTTTCAACTTTTTCGTTCGATATTCTTTAAAAGCGTGTGTCTTTAGTTTTTTTAAACTATATTTATTTTCTTATAAACTAAACGGCTGTTTATAACAACCTGAACTAATCGAGATAGATATAGAGTTATAGCTATATATATATATACTTGTATATAAATTATCAAGATTACGAGATTCGTTGAATTACGAAAATATATAAAATCCTATAACTAAGCCGCAAATTAAGATACAAAACTGTGATTCGCTAAAACGTGTCGCAATAGGAAGAGGCGTGGTTTGTTTTAAATAAGTGGACGGGGCCTCCCCCCTACTTAGTTGAATGTACATATCTCACAAAGAGGTGAAATCGGATGATAACCTGCCCACTCCCAATCTAAAGATTATGTTGAAAACTACTATATATGTATATATATAAATGCTCAACTAAATACATTATCAGCATTAGATTTTATAAGGCTGATGTCAAAATTGGCCAGTTAGGATGACCCCATCCATCTTGAGCTGATAACATATACATATCAGTAATTACTTCACCAGTTTCGTTCAAATTTGGCACGTAAAATCTCTCTCTCCCGTCTAAAAATTATTAAAATCGAACTATAACTTTTTTCATTTCCCAGATACCGATAATGTGAACCACAATGCTTGTCGTTGACTTTTTTACTGTACATACCGGTCAATCTGTGATATATCAATAAAATATGGAGTGAATCACTTTTTGATAATAGTGTATGCTTGTGTTAAAAATACGTCAATACATTCTCTATACCCTATGTACTCGTACTTAATGAAATTCAGAGAGTTTCTCTTATGTTTTCGGGTCAATACTAATCCTACCTCCCATATACCTTATATAAGAATTTCAAACTTTCTGCTGGCTTTATATAGTATATATCAGTCAATATATCTTATCAAATACCATTTTTATTAAATATACTAAATATTTTTTTGATTTATGGTTTTTGCAACAATCAGTAAAACTAGTTAACATACTTATAAAATTAAGTTACATAACTCTTTACACTTAATTAAAAAACGTTATGTTTTTTGAAGGTATCTACTAAAATAATTACCATATTTACTAATTTAAATTAATTGATTAATTTATTGTCTTATGTAACATATTTACTTAAAACACTTAATATTTTTTTAGGATCGTCACATTACAAGAAATGTAAAGACAGAACCATTTGTGGATCCATCTCAGGACTATATTCTTATGTTGGGGTATGAAAATGCAACACATACTGTCTTACGGTTTCGTCGAAAACTAGACACTTGCGACAAATTGCACGACATCGTTATTACGGTAAGTACAGTTATATATTTATAACTGGTCTTCCAAATAAGTATATGGTATAATTAACCACAATTTTTGATTTGATAATTAACCACAAATTTTGATTTGAATAATAAACAACTAAGCTCGTGTGAAAGCGAAGATGTTATCCTCTAACAATTTGAATAATCAAACTACTTTGTCGACAACAGCTTGAATATTTGGTTGGATGTGACAAAAATCCTGTGGAAATGAAATCTCATTTGTGGCAGGATCAATGAATTTTGCCGTTCTCTATGTCTAAAAGTTGTTGCGAAAATGTTTGAGCAGATGAGTCTTGCTGTAAATAAACACGCATATTCATTGATAGTGTGATTTTCTCGACTTTCCTCCAAAGATATGAAGATTTCAGGCAAGCGTTCAGGCAAAGTTTGACGAAAGTCACCAGCAAGAAGAATAAGAGCACCTACCATTGGTTGGTCATTTCCCCGAAAATCGCACAGGGTCTTGTCAAGCGCTTCGCGTGATTTTTATGGGCCATTGTACATTCCTCCCAAATAATAATTTTACGCGTTTTGAGGACTTTACGCATACCAGAACTTTTGCCAATATTTTGCAAGTTTGTGTTTCTGTTAGGTTTAAATTTAAGGGAAGTTTGAGAGCTGAATGTACAGTGCGTCCACCATCCAAGAGCGTTGATTCAATTCCTGATGATGCCACTGTGAGTTCAATCCATTTCCACATTCGAATGGACGCCAATATCAAATTAATCAGGTAATTAAAGCACCACTATGTGAACAAACTTTGTTCATTGCACCGATCACTACGTCCTTGTGACTTCTGTAATCGTCATCCTTATTGTAGTTGAACGCCGCAAGTTTTAAATTTATTCTTTCTCGTGATTGAGCCATTCATTTACGATTGGCATCAAGTCTTTGCGTACGTTTTTGGATTGTCTCGGTAGTTCGTAATGAAGATTCTTTGCCACGATTTTGTTGAAGCCGTGATTCACGCTCTTCTTCAGTTTCAATATTTCTTCTTGTCGATATTCTGTTACGATTTTTCTCAAGGGAAACTCACGTTCCTCAGATGTTTCATTTGCTCTTTTTTCCTTAATTTTCTTTGATTTGAAGGTTTTTTTTATCAATACTTTCTTTTTTTGATGTCTGTATTTGACATTTCAAAAAGAAAAGGGCTCTCATCGTCACCAAACTTTACAGGATTACTCGTCAGGTTAATCTTAAGATTTCCTTAAAGATTCATTGGAAGTGGTCCAGCCGTTTCGGAGCCTACACGGAACATACACACACACTTTCTTTTTTATATACATATATGTATATAGATAGATAGATTATTGGGAAACGACAAATTTTTAGATATTTTAAAAGGTGAAGGGGTAACAAAAAACCAACAAAACTTGTGTGCATTTTCTACAAGGCTCAGGTGGATTGTTGGTGTGATTTAACAACAAGCTGTCGACTAAGTAGGTTTTGATGGATCTCCTCGAAGTGGCAAACACTCGTCGTTGTATTAAGCGCTGCTTATTCACTATTAAGAACAATTTTTGATATTTTGCTTGGAAGAACTTGTCAAAACATCGCAAAATACATAGCAATTCTAAATGATTTTTACATCGACGTGATGACAGGTGCGGAGACCTTCAACTACTTATTAAATTTACACAGGCAACTATTGGTTCTTCTTAAAAGGGCAGGTATGAACTTGCGAAAATGGAGCAGTGACTGCGATGAGTTACTTCTCTCCCAGAAAATATCCGAGAGATGTTCGCATGTACTGTTGAGCAACCTAAATGTAAGTGGGTTTTCATACACCGTGCACAATTTTAGTAAAATTTTTTTTTCAAAAACTGTGGCTACTACAAATAGATTAGAAAATTCCTCTCTCTACGCTAAATACTCTGCAACTCTGAAGGAGAGTATTGTTTGCACTTGAACGTAACGAATTATATGGTTTGCGATGCGTATCTAAACGAATACGCCGCAGTCATATTTTGCCAATCAATCTCCGAGGGTAAAAAAACTATCCAAGTAGTGACAGCGAAGAGCTGCCTCCCTTAAACAAATATCATTACCGCGCCTTGAGCTGTGCGGCGACGTTCTCCTCTGTCGCCTAATGAACCATGTGCCGAAGACACTCCAAATCGATAGTTCAGAAGCTCAAATGTGGACCGATTCGTCAAATGTTCTGCATTGGTTATTGTCTGTGCCAAGGCGCTGGTCTGTTTATATCGCAAATCGGATATATTAACAACATTCAAAAGTTCCCAATGGCACCACGTTCGTTCTTCACACAACCCAGCTGACCCGGCTTCTAGGGGCGTATGGCCAACAGATTTGCCGAGCTTAAAATTATGGAGGGATGGGTCTCGACTAGTGCATGCTGTTGCTTATTGTCTACGATTTATTGGATTACTACGGAAACAAAAATACAATATATTCATGTCATCTAATGAACTTCATGCTGCTATCATCTTCATAATTCGCGCCGCACGAGAAGAACTTTTCTCAGCAGACATTGCGGCCTTAAAGGAACAGCGCACGACTACGAGTAAGGGCAGTCTATTGTCGCTATCACCTTTCTTAGATGACAATGACCTGCTTCGTGTTGGTGGAAGAATTGGCAATTGTCATTTGACAAACGACATCCATTAATTTTGTCTTCTAAACAAAAAGTTGCTAAAATGTTTGCTAAGCACATACATTTTACTCATATGCACGTCCGAAAAGCACAGATTATATTCATACTAAGAAAATATAATTTTATGTTCATGTAAGGGGTTACATACTGTGCTAAGCCTCAGTACCACCACTCTCTCCGGTAACAACTGGCGCACCCTAATGCACCACACCACACCAGAGAACAATCACAGGTTCTCACCACTCGATGAAAACACACCATAACACGGCACCTGTACATCTAACAAAAGGGACGGGATCATCGCCCTCACATCTTCTTTCGCTTATCGTCTACGGGCTTGAGCGCCACACATACCTTCGCTAAAATAATTCGTTCGGACACCAGTTCCTGCGCGCTACCGCATCAATTCAAGACGACCCCACCGCGTTCGATTCCATCAATAATTATATTATATATTTAATTTCGTTTGTGTAAAATATATTGTCAGTAAATGCGGAATAAACTAAAATTATTGATTTACCAAGTCACTTGCGTTTGTTTTATATTGAATCGAGTGTTAGTGTTGAATTGTGTATAGATTTAATCATGGTCCTTCGAGCCTTACCGAAAGGCACCTTCGGATTTTTATAAAAAAAAAAAACAAAAAACACTTATACAAACATAGTGAAAATAAAATACATAATTATGTATACCCATACTTAACACAAAGTTTAGTGACAGAACATATAATAAAAATAAAAAAACCAACGAAAAGAGTGCAGTGAAACAAAACAGTTAAAAACACAAAATGCATTTAAAAAACAAAAACTACAAAACTGTATAAGCAAACAAAAAAAAAAAACTAAAAGACATATCGGGCGCGAAACCTAAAAGCACTTAAAGACAAAACAGAAATAAAAACAAAATAAACGGGCGCGGATTTAAACACATAAACTCATATTGTTTAAACAACAAATAACACAACACGCTGGAAGACTTCAAAAGAAGAGGAAGGAATGAATTGGAACAAAACGCCCAGGCTCATAAACATACACATATAATATATTTTCATGGATGGAATACCAAGTGAGCGTATTTACTCCTTAAATATTTATTATACGAAAATGCCCATATGTATGTACAATTTATACTATATAATACCTGTAATACCAAATCCGTTTAACAATTTAATACAGTTACCAAACTGGTTCAATTTTCGGGTTTAATTTGCGGTAACCCGAAAACAGTTTGGTATAATATATAGACACATACATAAAATCAAATATCTAATTATTTAATGCCTATCTACTAGATAAGAGAAGTAGAGAAGAAGAGAAGAAGAGAGACCAAAAGAGAAAAAAACATACATATATGCATATTTCCTTAATGCTTACATCTTATATCTATATATATTCTTGATATACATATTTACATACAAACTTACAAACATATATACATACGTGCAGACGGGACATACCTGCATATTACTAATTTCTTTTCTCGCGCTCTCTCTTCGTATTGCGAACATACGTTTACATAAAATCATACGGCATAGAATTTGCCTATCCCATTTTACTCTACACTGGGAATAATTAAATTAAAATTTAAAATAATTTCTAAAAGTATACACTTTAAATTCGGAAGTAATTTAACAGCGGTAAAGTGAAAACGAATTCACTGAATTAATTTGAAAATTATCAAAAACAAAATACAAAAAAAAATATAACCAACAACATACTTACATACATACATATGTATACATATATTGGTATATATAGAATAGTGATACAAAGAGTTGTTAATTTTATGGATAAAGAAAATATTTCATTTGAAGCTAATGAAGTTACATAGATGAATAATACTAACATTCCTCCTAGAAAAATTAAAAATAAAATATAGGAGAATCAGAATCTTTTTGCTATTAGTCCTGTTAATAAACAAATTTGTAGTGTTTGAACTAAAAGTATTAATCCTATAGCATTGATCTCTTCAACGAGCTCTCAATTGCATTAGAAAATTAACATAGTATATACGCACAAACAATCCGTGCATACTTATATACAAAGTGTATTGATCTCTTCAACGAGCTCTCAATTTCACGAGCACATAAATATATACTAACAAGTCCGTGTATTAGGGTGTACGTAAATACATCAACATAAGGGCATAAAAAATATTATTGAATTAAAAGTGCGATTTTTATCAATTAAATTAAATAAAGCAATATATTCAAAAAGTAAATTCAGTTTACACTGAAAAAATAAATAAATGGTTATATATTAATAATTCATTGAAACATTATATAAATAACATAACAAAAATGGTTAATGGCGACAAAAGTCAAACTACACCTATAGGAGCTACACGCCCAAAACAGGTTGCCAAATTCATTT